ATTTTATGCCCGATTCATGCAAAACTCCACGTAATCCCAAGGGGTTCACATACTTTTTCTTGCAACTGTATAAATAATAGATACAACATATAAATAATGGATGGAGCAAATATATAAAAATGTAACATATTAATAAATGATACAACAATGTTTATGTGTGTGTATATATGTAACATATAAATGTAATGGATACAACAAACACATAGAAATGTAACATATAAATAAATGTTACAATATACTCTGTGTGTATTTATATTATTATTATTATTATTATACAGGATTTATATTATTATTATACAGGATTTTTTATATTATTATTATACAGGATTTATTATTATTATTATACAGGATTTATGGCGCCAACAGTTTGCTCAGCGCTTTACAATATAACGGGAGACAATACAGCAACAATACAGATCAATACAAGAAAAAATAGGAGGCCCTGATCCTGGGAGCTTACGATCTAAAGGGAGGGGCTGATCCTGGGAGCTTACAATCTAAGAGTATATTATATATATATATATTATATAACTGTAATAGATACAGCATTGACAAAATAAAAAAAAAGATAAAAAAAACACATATAGATAATTGATACAAGTGTGTGTGTGTGTGTGTGTCAGGGGCGGACTGACAACTTATGGGGCCCCCGGGCGATAGGGGATCATGGGGCCCCTGTGTCCTTATCCACACTCAAACCACACCCAAAAAAGCCTATGAAAGGTACCAGGGGCATCTCATACTGACCCCGGGCCCTTGGGCAGTGCCTGAGTTCCCAAATGGTCAGTCCGCCCCTGGTGTGTGTATATATATATAAGTAGTATATACAGCATATACATATAAATGATAGATACATTCATTTGTTGTAACACAATAATAGATACATAGATACTAGATATATATATATACTGTATGTACAAGGTATACATATACATGGAACAATGTCCTATATGAGTACATGCCCCCCCCCCCCCCCACCAATGACATCACCGGCACGCACAACGTGGACTAGATCAGTAAATATTAGCAGGAAGTATAATGTACAATAGTGTTCACTGCAAACGTTTCACCTGCTGAACAGAATGAAGGAAGACGCAAACCCAACCGATAATCCCACACAATCGTTATGCAGACATTCCCTCCGGTGCCGCCATTACGGAACGTGCGCAAATGTGCCAGAGGGGTTCTGCCCGACCTCCGTGTCCTGACAGAGTCCTTCGGCATATTTGTGCACACATAGGAGATTTCCAGCGCATGCGCAAAGATGGCGGGGTTTGGGACTTCCGCAGTAGCTGTCTTTGCGCATGCGTGGTTTCCCTCACTCATGGGCAAAACGTCTGGAGAACCCGCATGTGTTCTATAGACTTCAACGGAAGCGCTGCAGAAAAGCCTGTATTGCGTTTTTGCCACATTTTTGATGCATTTTGATGCGTTTTTTGGAAAGGGTCGGGGACTTTTTTGAATGCAAAAAGTTGCTTTTTTGGTTCTATAGACTTCAATGGAAATGCTGCAGCAAAGCATGTATTGCGTTTTTGCTGCGCTTTTGATGTATTTTTGATGCACTTTTTGGAAAGGGTCAGAGACTTTTTTGAATGCAAAAAGTAGCGTTTTTGGATTTATAGACATCAAAGAAAACGGCACAGAAAAGCGTGTATTGCGTTTTTGCTGCGTTTTTCCCACGGTTTTGACGCATTTTTGATGCATTTTTTGGAAAGGGTCGGGGACTTTTTTGAATGTAAAAAGTTGCGTTTTTGGTTCTATAGACTTCAAAGAAAACAGCGCAGAAAAGCTTGTATTGCGGTTTTGCTGCGGTTTTGATGCATGTTGATGCGTTTTTTTGGAAAGGATCAGGGACTCTTAAACGGCAAACGTTGCATTTTTCGTTCTATAGACTTCAACGGAAATGCCGCAGAAAAGCATGTATTGCGTTTTTGCTGCGATTTTGCCACTTTTTTTATGCATTTTAATGCATTTTTTGGAAAGGGTCAGGGACTCTTTTGAATGCCAAAATTTGCGTTTTTGGTTCTATAGACTTCAATGGAAACGCTGCAGAAAAGCATGTATAGCGGTTTTGCTGCATTTTTGATGCACTTTTTGGAAGGGTCGGGGACTTTTTTGAACGCAAATTGTTGCGGTTTTGGTTCTATAGACTTCAAAGGAAACGCTGCAGAAAAGCATGGATTGAGGTTTTGCTGCGGTTTTGCTGCATGTTGATGCGTTTTTTTTGAAAGGGTCGGGGACTCCTGAACGCCAAAAGTTGCGTTTTTGGTTCTATAGACTTCAATGGAAACGCTGCAGCAAAGCTTATAGTGCGTTTTTGCCACATTTTGATGCATGTTTGATGCGTTTTTCATTTTCTCTTTTTTTCAATCTGCCTAGCAACAAGAAAAAAAATTTTTTTTTAAAAAAGCAAAACGCATCAAAAACACAACAAAAATCCAAAACGCAACGCAAAATGCAATGCAGAACCGGCTCAAACGCAACCTGCATAGGTATGACCCTCAATATGACGCCACGCTTCAGGAGACGCTCCCCTTTAACATGTTCACTTCTTTTTAAAATTCATTTTCAATATTTTTTTTCAATCTGCAGATTTCTTTATAATCGTCCCCATTGATCCTGCCAGGAAGGTTCCTGTTTAGACACTTCCTGTTATAGGGTGACAACACTTTGTTCCTGACACCCAGCTGGGCGTTTGCATTGTCATCCTGTCACGTGGACTCCAATCTCAGCACAGACATGGTCCGCAGTGGTCACCATCCAGAAACAGGCTCTGAAAAATGTCCCGCAGCCAACACTGGAGATTGTGTGGACAGGAAGTGGCTGCGAAGCTCCTTCAGGAGATCAGCAAACACAGAACTGTCATTTCAAAAGTCATTTTTCATATTTTTAAAGCTGCATATTTCATTAGAAGAGTCCCTGGTGATCCTGCCGCGGAGGTCCCTGTTCAGGCACTTCCTGTAATAGGGTGACAACGGTCTTTCTCTGCCACTGGATGGACTTATGTGTTGTCACCCTGTCACAGGGGCTCCTATGCCAATGCTTATAACATAGGTATGGTCCACTTTTGCCACCATCAGGAAACCGGCATCTGTTGCTGGAGTGCATGTAGACTAGAAGTGGCTGTAAAGAGGCCGCAGGAGATCAGCAGTACAGAGATGTAACAAACAATAAAACAGATAATTTATTATCGATACTTATATAGCGCCGTCCATTTACTCAGTGCTTTACATATATATTGTACATTCACATCAGTCCCCGCCCCCGAGGAGCGTACAATCTAAGGTCCCTAACTCACATTCATACATACTAGGGCCAATTTAGATCAGAGCCAATTCACCTCCCAGCATGTCTTTGGAGTGTGGGAGGAAACTGAAGTAACCAGAGGAAACCCACGCCAGGCACAGGGAGAACATGCAAACTCCAGGCAGGTGGTGCCGTGGTTGGGATTCGAACCGACGACCCGAGTACTGCCAGGAGGAAGTGTTAACCATTTATTTACAAAGACAATGATTTATGGTCATAGAGAAAACTGAAAGCTGTCAGTCAGGATTCACATCTACATTGTATCAACATAAAAATAGTTTTGGGACTTTGAATACAAATGTAACAAATCAGATACACAATATTGCCCCAAGGATTGAGCCACCGGCCTTTCCACACACATGACCTTTAATGGCCCCCCAGTCTTAGTCCGTAGGGTTCAATATTGAGTTGGCCCCGCCCTTTCCACACACATGACCTTTAATGGCCCCCCAGTCTTAGTCCGTAGGGTTCAATATTGAGTTGGCCCCGCCCTTTCCACACACATGACCTTTAATGGCCCCCAGTCTTAGTCCGTAGGGTTCAATATTGAGTTGGCCCCGCCCTTTCCACACACACATGACCTTTAATGGTCCCCCCAGTCTTAGTCCGTAGGGTTCAATATTGAGTTGGCCCCGCCCTTTCCACACACATGACCTTTAATGGCCTCCCAGTCTTAGTCCGTAGGGTTCAATATTGAGTTGGCCCCGCCCTTTCCACACACATGACCTTTAATGGTCCCCCCAGTCTTGGTCCGTAGGGTTCAATATTGAGTTGGCCCCACCCTTTCCACACACATGACCTTTAATGGCCCCCCAGTCTTAGTCCGTAGGGTTCAATATTGAGTTGGCCCCGCCCTTTGCAGCTATAACAGCTTCAACTCTTCTGGGAAGGCCGTCCACAAGGTTTAGGAGGGTGTCTATGGGAAGGTTGGACCATTCTTCCAGAAGCACATTTGTCAGGTCAGGCACTGATGTCGGGGGAGGAGGCCTGGCTCGCAGTCTCCGCTCTAATTCATCCCAAAGGTGTTCTATGGGGTTGAGGTCAGGACTCTGTGCAGGACAGTCAAGTTCCTCCACCCCAAACTGGCTCCTCCATGTCTTTATGTACCTTGCTTTGTGCACTGGGGGGCAGTCATGTTGGAACAGGAAGGGGCCAACCCCAAACTCTTCCCGCAAAGTTGGGAGCATGAAATTGTCCAAAAATGTCGCCTTAAGAGTTCCCTTCACTGGAACTAGGAGGCCAAGCCCAACCCCTGAGGAACATCCCCACATCATAATCCCCCCTCCACCAAACATTACACTTGGCACAATGCAGTCAGGCAAGTACCGTTCTCCTGGCAACCGCCAAACCCAGACATGTCCATCGGATTGCCAAACAAAGAAGCGTGATTGGTCCCTCCAGAGTCAAGATAACACAATCCCTATGCACACGTTCCTGCGTTTTTTTAAAAGAAAAATGGCTATATGAGTAAGTGGGTGCTGAAGCGACCAATGGCTGGAACGGAAAAGACTCAAATGGGAAGAACGTCACCTCCAAATAATCATTTGACCCGTAACTGGAGATCCTTGGTGTGCTGGTGATATTCTTTCCATTTGATCACTCCAGAGAACACGTCTCCTCTGCTCTAGAGTCCAGTGGCGGCGTGCTTTACACCACGGCATCCGACGCTTTGCATTGCACTTGGTGATGGAAGGCTTGGATGCAGCTGCTCGGCCATGGAAACCCATTCCATGAAGCTCTCTACGCACTGTTGTTGGGCTCATCTGAAGGCCACACCAAGTTTGGAGGTCTTTAGCTATTGACTCTGCAGACAGTTGGCAACTTCTGCGCACTGTGCGCTTCAGCATGCGCTGACCCCGCCCTGTCATGTGACGTGGCCTACCACTTGGTGGCTGAGTGGCTGTTGTTTCCCAGTGGCTTCCACCTTGTTATAATCCCACTAACAGTTGAGCGTGGAATATTTAGTAGCCAGGAAATGTCACGGATGGACTTATTGCCCAGGTGGCCACCTATCACGGGACCACGCTTGGAGTCACTGAGCTCCTGAAAGCGACCCATTCTTTCACCAATGTTTGTAGAAGCCGTCTGCATGTCTAGGGGCTTGATTGTATACACCTGTGTCCATGGAGGGGATTGGAACACCTGAATCACATGATATGGAGGGGATTGGAACACCTGTATCACATGATTGGGAGGGGATTGGAACACCTGAATCACATGATGTGGAGGGGATTGGAACAAATGAATGACATGATATGGAGGGGATTGGAACACCTGAATCACATGATATGGAGGGGATTGGAACTCCTGAATCACATGATTGGGAGGGGACTGGAACACTTGAATCACATGATATGGAGGGGATTGGAACACCTGAATCACATGATATGGAGGGGATTGGAACACCTGAACCACATGATTGGGAGGGGATTGGAACACCTGAATCACATGATTGGGAGGGGATTGAAACACATGAATCACATGGTTGGGAGGGGATTGGAACTCCTGAATGACATGATTGGGAGGGGATCGGAACACATGAATCACATGGTTGGGAGGGGATTGGAACATCTGAATCACATGATTGGGAGGGGATTGGAACACATGAATCACATGGTTGGGAGGGGATTGGAACTCCTGAATGACATGATTGGGAGGGGATCGGAACACATGAATCACATGATATGGAGGGGATTGGAACATCTGAATCACATGATTGGGAGGGGATTGGAACACCTGAATCACATGGTTGGGAGGGGATTGGAACACCTGAATCACATGGTTGGGAGGGGATTGGAACACCTGAATCACATGGTTGGGTGGGGATTGGAACACCTGAATCACATGATTGGGAGGGCGGGCCCAATACGTTTGGCAATATAGTGTATGTCAGCAACACCCAGGAGGGGGCGGAATGTTCTAGAATCTCTCTGGCTTCTCAAGTCCTGAATGATTTCCGTTCTCTGTGAAATGTTCTCATTTCTTCCCTCTTTCGGGATTCATCATCACATTAGGAATTCTCTTTTTTTCACTACTGTACTTGAAAGAAGGAAACATTTGTTGTATATTGTTCTGGATGAGTAGGACACAGGGGGGACTGACCATTTGGAAACTCGGGCACTGCCCGAGGGCCCGGGGTCAGTAGGGGGCCCCATGGGATGCCCCTGGTACCTTTTTCATAGGCTTTTTTGAGTTTGGGCAAGGACACAGGGAACCCATGATCCCCTATTGCCCGGGGGGCCCCATGAGTTGTCAGTCCGCCCCTGGTAGGACATGATGATAGGTAGGGTTGTATTTGGGGGATCTCCCCTTGGCAGATGAGTGCAGGAACATCGTCCCAGGCCAGGGTTACGTGATGACATCATCGGACTTGCCATGGTCTGTGGTCATGGTTTGTGGGTTTCTCAGATGAGCTCACCATGGCGCTTCCTCTTGAACTGATAATTCCACCAACAACTGTCTTCCACTTTGCGTTTTTGATCTCTGGTTCCTTTTCCTTCTTTTCTCATTTTCATCCACCATTTAAAGGCTAAAACTGCAACTGATTTTTTTTTTTATCTTGGTTGCTGGCATGTAGGATCATACTGGTTTCTTGTATGTTGGGATCTCCAGTGGGGTGTTCTGGACTCCAAACATTCCCAGGTCCACTCCTCTTCAATGGATTTTCCACTATGTAGAGTAGACAGATATTCGGGGAGTCCAGCTGTGGAGGCGGGGACGTGGATAAGGGGGTACCACCACTCCTCTTGTACGGGGCCCAAGCTAGCAGGAGGGCCCAGCAGGCAGCTGGTCGAATCAGAAGCGGGCAGGGGGTGTGATCGGCATGACGGGGGGGAGCAATTACTGGAACCGATCCCCTTTACGGCTTTCCCAGAAGCAGCTTAAAGCTGGCTTCTTTCCCTCCCATTGGCTTTCAGATGCTGCAGAGAAAGCCATACAGGGGATCAGTTTCAATAATTGTCCCCCCCCCCCCCCGCTGCACCTACCACCTTCCCTGTGCACCATATGTTTCCCCCTGTGTGCCCCCACCCCCTCAGTGTTGTCTGCTTCCCTCCTCTCCTTCCCACCTGCTGCAAGCACAAAGTAGCTTCCCTCAGGATGGAGAGTGGCAGAAGGGTCCGATAAGTATGTCACATTTACCAGACCCTTTCTTTCCTGAAGGATCAGTGCCGATCAGGTTGGTTGTATGGGGCCCCGTGATTTCTAACAGCAGCCCTGTATGGAGGGGTCACAAAGAGAAAGCAGAGCGCACTCCCTAGAAAATCCAAGGAGGTAAGTAGATAACCAGGGGCATTCTGTAAAGAAAAACTGCAATGCTGAATAGAAGATCCAGGGAACTCTTTTGAAGACTTTTGGCTTTAAATAGATGACCCAGGCATTCAGGAGAAGTTCAGGTCACTCAGGAGAAGACCAGGTCACTGAGGAGAAGACTAAGGACACTCAGGAGAAGACCAGGTCACTGAGGAGAAGACTAAGGACACTCAGGAGAAGACCAGGTCACTTAGCAGAAGACCCAGGGCACTCCTTAGAAGACACTGGGCTTTTAGTAGAAGACCTAGTTATTAAGGAGAAGACCAGAGCACTCTGTAGACGACACAGGACACTTAGAAGAAGCCCAGGACACTTAGTAGAAGACACAAAGCACTTAGTAGAAGACCTTCAACACCTCACAGAAGACCTAGGGCTTTCGGTAGAAGACAAGGGCACTCTGTAGAATACCCAGGTAGCTTAGCAGATTTTGGAACTCAGTGTAAAGAACCCTGTCACTTAATAGAGGACATGAGTTATGTAGGAGAAGGCAAGGGCACTCCCTAGAAGATCCAAGGTGGTTAGTAGATAACCAGGGGCACTGAGCTGAATACTTGGGAAACTCAGTAGAAGATTTGGGCAATTTGTACAAAACCTGCAACACTCAGTGGAAGACCTAGGACACTCCTTTGAAGACCAGGCCACTCAGGAGAAGACTAGGAACACTCAGGAGAAGACCAGGTTACTTAGTAGAAGACCCAGGGCACTCCACAGAAGATATTGGGCTTTCAGTAGAATACCTAGTTATTAAGGAGAAGACCAGGGCACACCATAGAAGACATTGGACTTTTACTAGAAGACCTAGTTATTAAGGAGAAGACCAGGACAAACCATAGAAGACATTGGACTTTTAGCAGAAGACCTGGTTATTAAGAAGACCAGGGCACTCTGTAGAAGACACAGGACACTTATAAGAAGACACAGAACACTTAGTAGAAGGCCTGCAACACTCAGCAGAAGACCCAGGGCACTCCTTTAATGACCAGGTCACTCAGGAGAAGACTAGGGGCACTCAGCAGAAGACCAGGTTACTTAGTAGAAGACCCAGGCCACTCCACAGAAGATATTGGGACTTTTAGTAGAAGACCTAGTTATTAAGGAAATGATGAGGGACACTCCATAGAAGACATTGGACTTTTAGTAGAAGACCTAGTTATTAAGGAAAAGATGAGGACACTCCATAGAAGACATTGGACTTTTAGTAGAAGACCTAGTTATTAAGACGAAGACAAGGACACTCTGTAGGAGACACAGGACACTTAGTAGAAGGCCTGAAACACTCAGTAGAAGACCAAGGGCACTCCTTTGAAGACACATGGCTTTAAATAGAAGACCCAGACACTCAGGAGAAAACTAGGGGCACTCAGGAGAAGACCTGTGCTGAATACTTGTGGAACTCAGTAGAAAAACCTAGGTTTTCTACTCCACATAACAATTCATTAGCATCTCCACCAAACAAGAAAGGCTGCCAAGTCAATCATTTCACCTGTGTTGACCCAAATTGGAAGTTCATCTAGTTCAACTAATAGAAATAAAAAAAATGAATATAAAACTTCCATATACAGAACCCCTATACCCACAGTTGGGCAGTATTTGGTGGAGTCGAGTTTCCTGGACCTAATTATCCCCAGCCCCGTGTAATGCAGAAGAAGACCCCTTTGGGCAGTATTTGGTGGAGCCGAGTTTCCTGGGCCTAATTATCCCCAGCCCCCTGTAATGCAGAAGAAGATCCCTTTGGGCAGTATTTGGTGCAGCTGAGTTTCCTGGGCCTAATTATCCCCAGCCCCGTGTAATGCAGAAGAAGACCCCTTTGGGCAGTATTTGGTGCAGCTGAGTTTCCTGGGCCTAATTATCCCCCAGCCCCGAGAAATGCAGAAGAAGACCCCTTTGGGCGGTATTTGGTGGAGCCGAGTTTCCTGGGCCTAATTATCCCCCAGCCCCGAGTAATGCAGAAGAAGACCCCTTTGGGCAGTATTTGGTGGAACCGATCTTCCTGGACCTAATTATCCCCAGCCCCGTGTAATGCAGAAGAGCCCTTTGGGCAGTATTTGGTGGAGCCGAGTTTCCTGGGCCTAATTATCCCCATCCCCGTGTAATGTAGAAGACCCCTTTGGGCAGTATTTGTTGGAGCCGAGTTTCCTGGGCCTAATTATCCCCAGCCCCGTTTCCTGGGCCTAATTATCCCCAGCCCCGAGTAATGCAGGAGAATACCCCTTTGGGCAGTATTTGGTGGAACCGATCTTCCTGGACCTAATTGTCCCCCAGCCCCGTGTGATGCAGAAGAAGACCCCTTTGGGCAGTATTTGGTGGAACCGATCTTCCTGGACCTAATTATCCCCAGCCCCGTGTAATGCAGAAGAGCCCTTTGGGCAGTATTTGGTGGAGCCGAGTTTCCTGGGCCTAATTATCCCCATCCCCATGTAATGTAGAAGACCCCTTTGGGCAGTATTTGGTGGAGCCGAGTTTCCTGGACCTAATTATCCCCAGCCCCGAGTAATGCAGGAGAATACCCCTTTGGGCAGTATTTGGTGGAGCCGAGTTTTCTGGGCCTAATTATCCCCCAGCCCCGAGTGATACAGAAGAAGACCCCTTTGGGCAGTATTTGGTGGAACCGATCTTCCTGGACCTAATTGTCCCCAGCCCCGTGTGATGCAGAAGAAGACCCCTTTGGGCAGTATTTGGTGGAGCCGAGTTTCCTGGGCCTAATTATCCCCAGCCCCGTGTAATGCAGAAGTGCCCTTTGGGCAGTATTTGGTGGAACCTATTTTCTTGGGCCTAATTATCCCCAGCCCCGTGTAATGCAGAAGAAGACCCCTTTGGTCAGTATTTGGTGGAGCCGAGTTTCCTGGACCTAATTATCCCCCAGCCCCGTGTAATGCAGAAGAAGACCCCTTTGGGCGGTATTTGGTGGAACCGATCTTCCTGGACCTAATTATCCCCAGCCCCGTGTAATGCAGAAGAGACCCCTTTGGGCAGTATTTGGTGGAGCCGAGTTTCCTGGACCTAATTATCCCCAGCCCCGTGTAATGCAGAAGAGCCCTTTGGGCAGTATTTGGTGGAGCCGAGTTTCCTGGGCCTAATTATCCCCAGCCCCGTGTAATGCAGTAGAAGACCCCTTTGGGCAGTATTTGGTGGAGCCGAGTTTCCTGGACCTAATTATCCCCATCCCCCCGTGTAATGCAGAAGAAGACCCCTTTGGGCAGTATTTGTTGGAGCCGAGTTTCTCTGGACCTAATTATCCCCAGCCCCGTTTCCTGGACCTAATTATCCCCAGCCCCAGTAATGCAGGAGAATACCCCTTTGGGCAGTATTTGGTGGAGCCGAGTTTTCTGGGCCTAATTATCCCCAGCCCCGAGTGATACAGAAGAAGACCCCTTTGGGCAGTATTTGATGGAACCGATCTTCCTGGACCTAATTGT